GTCAGGAAGATCACTGCGTTGATCGCGTAGGAATTTACTAACATAAATCAAGATTTCAAGAACATTTTCTGAAAACAAACCACCATAATTTTCCGATTCGATAAAAATTCTTTAAATCTGTCCGTGACCATTGACGAACTAACGACCGCATTCTCTAARATAAACATGCCACCACCAGATCTATCGGACGTCTGTATAACAAATTTAGGCTTTAGTCAAAATAAATGCATTCAACTCTTATAAATCATTTCTCATTAGCAATAATGGATAATACACTAGCTAAATCTCAACACAATTAAGAAAGAGAGAGCAGTAGTTCTATAGAAAGAGAGGGCAATAGAAAGTAAATGCTGTGCTGCAAGATTAATTGTCATGTATTTCTTTTCATATAATATAATAGCTGCACTATAATAATACAATTTTAGAAAGAGATAACATGTGAGATAGAAAATAGAGCGAGAGAGAGAGCGCGTTAGAATATAATATATAATATAAACAGTGTGTGAGAGAGAAAGATAGATAGAGATAGAGTGTTACAGGCAACATTCGGTGAGCTAATCAAATGTTCACTTGTGTATGTGCGTGTTTGTGTGTGTATGTAAACACAATTATATGTTGTTCTTTAATATAAATATATACCGTTACTCCCCCGCCCACACTTCTCGAGAGCCGTGACGAACTCTTGACAGTTCTGGCAGCTGTTCTTCTCTAAATGCATTTACCGTGTCAAATGCAATTTATAAATAGTAAAAAAAAATATTTGAGAAAGATATATGTACAATATACCTTTATCTCAGCAAAAAGCATTTGCTGGAGTAGCCCTACCAAGTGACGAGTGTATATGTGTGTGTGTGTGTGTGTGTGTGTGTGGAAGAGTGGCTTAGCGCTTTTTATACCCTTTGTTAGCATTTGGACCTTTGAATTTCTTCATAGTAAATTCTAAGGAATTTCGTTAGGTTTTAACTTTTTGTTCAACAACTGTGAATACTACAAATACCATAAACATCTATAATATACAGCGAAACATCTATTAATGTAATGCCTCCTGGCCCACCCGGCCACCCGCTGGTCCACCTCCTAGTCCGAGCAGGCCGTGCACAGCGGCTTGTTGTCCTCCACGGCGAACGTGCTCGCCGTAATTGGCTTCAGGCACTTCTGCAATCGAAATGAGAGAGGGAGAGAGATAATACACATTTGCCGGCATTGAGTCCATTGTGCTGCACTCACCTTGCACTTGAAGCAATCCCGATGCCACTTGGCATTGAGCGCCACAATCGCATTCTCCGTTATCGGCTGGCTGCAGCCGGCACAGCGCGCCGCGAACAGCTGCTCGAAGTCGATGCGGCAGTAAGGCCGGCCGTCCCGCTCATAGAACGAGGTGCCCACCAATGGCTTCTGGCATGGACCGGCGCACACGAAGCACTCCTCATGCCACGACTGCTCCATGGCCTTGATGGTGCGCTGTCAACAGACGATAAACGTATTTTTACTATTATTATTTCAAAATCAGCAAATCTACAATCAAAATTAGACTATATATGTATGTATATAGATATATATATATTTCACTAATATAAAATATACATAATATGCATAATCATAGCCAATCAATCGCTCATGCTCAGCCCCCACTCGAGTGGCCTTGATGCTGCTAATTTAGCGGAACGAATAGTTTTGGCAGCCAGTGTCGCATTCTTAATGCACTTTAAGCAACGGTTGGCTAATAGTATTTAAAATTTAGAAATT